GCCTTGAACCCTAACCCAAAGCACTTCAGAGTGCTTCTCTTCTGACTCTTTGCTAATTAGCGAGTTCGGGATGGTCCGGGATGGTGCATGGCTTCCTTTATTTTTCAGATAGCAACAATAACAGTTGTGAGGGCAGCACAGGCATGTTACTTAAAACAATCTTTGTGAGGTTGTATAAATGTGTGTTTGTCTCTTGAACTCTTTGCAGTGCAAGCTGGGGTTTAGACAGCAACATTTGCATGGGCTTCTCAGACAAAGAGTCCCTCTCTGCTGAGTGACCCTGACTGTGACTCGCCTGCTATTTCATTGACACTAATTGATCCGGGGACTCTTTTCGCTGATGCTTCTGTTTCTGCCATCACCCTCCCAATGGTGCCACAGAACTGTAAAAACCTTGGAGTTTAACTTGCTTCTCTTCATGAGTGTAAAACTTGCCAGTCTGTCATCTCACTGGCTTGTGGACCAGATGCTCAGCGAGTATAAAGCAGTCTTGATGCCAGTGGAGCATCACTGATTTCTACCTGCTGACGATTTGGTCCTTGCTGTTGTGTGAAAAACCTGTAAGGCAGACAACGCTGTCGTTGAGAGATGTGCACATTAGTAGGGTCACTTATTTAACTTTAGGATCTGTCTCTTGCAATCTGATAAACTGAAAAGCTTCCACGTGCCTGCTTAGTAGGGTGAACGTACAGTTGGGCAGAGGACATCCTCAGTGCAGCAGTCCCTCCTCCCCCCCGCAGTGGTCTCCATGCCATACGTCAGACTGTGTTAATCCCACGGGCTCGAATCTGATACCCTTTTTCCTGTTTAGCAACACATTTGCCTGTCAACGGTTCTGTTGACTTTCACAGTGATCCCCTTATGCTCAATAGTATCTGAACTTGCCTCTAAAGAACCAAGTACAGTTATGGGGCAAAATGCACCTCTGGTGTTGTCCTTGATCGGTAGGTGCTTGAATGATGCTCTCGAGGCTGGTAATGACATGATTCTGTAGTGTCTGTTTAGCTCCCGACTCTGGTCTGTCAATGTAGTCAACATTAAAATATGTCTTACCTCTGTGGCAGAGGTATAACCTGCAATGCGTCTTGCTCTAAGGGTTTGACCATGTCTTGCTGTAAGGATTAAGCAGGGTGGGGTGTCTATCTTCCCTTGGTAAGCAACTGCATTAAACAGACCCCAGCTTTCCTGCTCTTCCTCCTTGGTGCTGTCAGCCCAGAGCTGTCCCGGTGTTAGATCTGCATTGGAGTGTGTGGTGCAGCATGAAAGGGCTTGACAACGTGCAAGGGTATCTCTACATATGTCTTAAGAAATGGCTGGAGCAGCGAAAGCACTGCTTGTACACGATTTTAAATGCTGATTTACAGGAGTGATGCCTTGAGCATGCAGTAATACCTGGAGTGTGCAGTGCAGCATGAATGATGACAACTGGCTCGATGCTCTGACACGACCATTCAGCTGAGCCCGGTGCTTGTTTACTGGAGCTTTTCTGTGCTGCTGTCTGCCGGAGCCATTCATCATGGTGATGAATGTGCCACCCAGGCAGGCTGAGCACTGGCAGAAAGCAGGCCTGGGCTCAGCTTGACCTCTGCATGGGACAGATGGAAGCAAAGTTTTTTTTTTTT